GGACCTGGAATCTGGCTGCCGGGCCCCCAATGGGACAGGACCCCTGTGCAGTGGGAAGGGGCGATGCCAGTGTGGACGCTGCACGTGCACTGGCCAGAGCTCTGGGCGTCTTTGCGAGTGTGATGATGCTAGCTGCGAGCGGCATGAGGGCGTCCTCTGTGGAGGTACCTGGGGGTTTGGAGGTGGGCAGGGGCAAGCAGGGTCTTCCTAAGGGTACCAGACTCTCTGGGCACCGAGGCCAGTGCTACTATAGTGCTGGGCTTGGAGGTTTTGCCTGGCAAACCTGTGGTGCCCAACTCAATTGTGTGTGTGATCTTGTGTGTGCCTCTGCTGCAGGTTTTGGCCGCTGCCAGTGTGGGGTGTGTCACTGTCATGCCAACCGCACAGGCAGAGCATGCGAGTGCAGTGGGGACACAGATAACTGTGTCGGCCCTGAGGGCCAACTGTGCAGTGGCCACGGAAGCTGCAAATGCAACCGCTGCCAGTGCTTGGATGGCTATTATGGCACCCTGTGTGACCAGTGTCCAGGCTGCAAGACCCCGTGTGAGAGACACAGGTGAGGCTGCAGGGCTTGCCTAGCCAGCTGAGACCCTCTTGTCTCCCCACGGAGGGTCCCCGTTCAGCTGCTGACTCACTGGCACCCATGGACAGGGACTGCGCCGAGTGCAGCGTCTTTGGGACCGGCCCCCTGGCGTCTAACTGCAGCACAGCTTGTGCCCATGCCAATGTGACGCTAGCTGAGACACCCAACTTGGATGATGGCTGGTGCAAAGAGAAGACCCTTGACAACCAGCTGTTCTTCTTCCTGGTGGAGAATGAGGCTGGGGGTAGTGTCACTCTGCGAGTGAGACCCCAACAGAGTAAGTGGGCTAGGCAGCCACAGCCAGACATGCCAGGCGGTGCCTCATTCCTGGCACGGTGGAGGCGTGTGTACCAAAGGCAGGGTGGGTGAAGCAGCTGGTGAAGGCCTTAGGCCTTGGACAGTGAGGACAACCTTGGACCTTGCTGGTCTCTCTGCATTTAGTGCCTGAGGGGCTTGGGGAGCCTGTTGATCTTGCTCTGTGCCCCAGAAGTCTGTTCTGTTTCCCTCCCAGAGAGCACAGACCACACGCAGGCCATTGTGTTCAGCTGCGTGGGGGGCATCGTGGTGGTGGGACTGGTGTTGGTGTTGGCCTATCGGGTCTCGGTTGAAATCTATGACCGCCGTGAGTTTAGTCGCTTTGAGAAAGAGCGACAGCAACTCAACTGGAACAAGGTGAGGGGGATGCCTCTCACCCACCTGGGAGGGCTTGTCTTGGGTGGGTCCCCCCACAACTCCCAATCCCTTCCACGAACACCTAGGACTCTGCTCAAGTTCTAGGTTGGCCTTTTATGGGGTGGGTGGGGGCAGGCAGGGGCAGGCTGGCCTCCGCCTCATTGTTTGGGTTCTTTCCACCCACTCCCAGGACAACAATCCTCTCTACCAAAGCGCCATTACCACAACCGTGAACCCGTTCTACCAGGAGGCCGAGAAGACCCCTTTGCGCAGGTAGCCAGGGCCAGACCCACAGCAGCCTGCCCACTTCTCGGAGTGGCTTCCGACATGACTGTTGCTTCTGGTGCCTCACAATCTGCAATAAAGAGCCTTACCTCACCCCACAGCTGTCATTCTGCAGAACGTGGCCAAGGCCAAAGTGGCTCATTTAGTTTGGGTTGCCTCTTGCCACCTGAGGGTGGGGAGGGTCTCCACCTAGACTGTGGGCAACACCTAGCTATGCTGGCACAGGTCCCCCTTGCTTGGCAGAGCCAGCCTCATCTCGTTCTGTCCAGCTGTGTATGCCATCTGGCCTACTTCCCCTTCTACTCAGTTCTCCGTGGGAGCAGGGAGGCTGTCACAGAGCAGACGGTTAAGTGGTAGCTTGTGCTGTCAGCGTCCTGTATAGGAGTGCTAGTGTAAGTCCTGGCTGCTCCGCTTCTGAACCAGTTCCCTGCTCAAGTGCCAGGCACAAAGAGGAGCACACGCCCCAAGTACTTAGGCCCCCGCCGCTCAGGAGGCAGACCAGCAAGGAATTCCAGGTTCCTTCCTGGCTTGGGCCTGCTTGTTGTAGCCACGCAGCGAGTGAAGATTCCATTCTGTGTTTCCCCTTTAAACACACACACACACACACACACACACACACACACACACACACACACACACACACACACACAATGATAGGATATTGCAGTGTGGTTGCTCTCGGGGGTGGGAGGGGAAGGGAAGAAGAACCACACAAACCACACTGCCTCCCCGTCAGCAAAGACAACTGCCCAAGGAGAGAGCTATGTAGAAAAGCCCCCACTTGTTTATTTAAATATCCTAAATATATCACGAAGGAACATACACTGCACTTTAATGGTAAAAAGATACAAGTTTATAACATCTTATAAAAACTACCATTTAAAAGTGATCTTGTTCATTTGATATTCCCCTCCCAAATAGCAAAATAAGTATATTAAAAAAAAAAAAAAACAACAAAAACCCAGAGGGTGGGGCACTGAAGGGTGACACCCTAGGGCTACAGTGGGGGGCCCGTCCAGGGAGGCTCCACTCACGGAACCCTCCAGTGCCATGCCATGGGGCACAGTAGCTACGTGATGACAAGAGGCTGCTGGGGGCTGGAGGCGAGGGGTGCTGGGGAGGGCAGGGCATGGGGCAGTAGTCCATCCAAGAGCTGGCACTACTTTTTCCCAGGAGCTCTCCCTTCCGCCCAATTTCACCTCTTGGTCTGACAGCTGCCCTGTCTCCATCCCCTCACTCCCAATATACCTGAGGTGTTTTTCCAGTGCTAAGTCCCACCCTTGGCCAAGAAAGGGTGGGCATGGGACCCTGGAGCCTTCTCCTGGTTCCCTGGGATGTGAGTGGGGCTCCTGGGCCTTCTGGGGGCCCATCACTCCTTTGTTTCTCCCTCCTATGCGCTCAGTGCCCCTAAAACATCTGCACTGAAGCGGCCGCTCAGTGAGTCCCGCCCCAGCGCTGGCAGAGGAGCTCTGGAGCAGTTGCGTGCAGACTTGAGCAGAGGCCCTCCAACACCAGGCAGGGAGCCCACGCCTGCAGGGAGCTGGGCCACACTCTCAGGATGCTCTCCACAACCCCCCTCCCCAACAGCGGGGCTCCCAGTTAGCAGGGAGTGAGATCTTCCATCTGCAAAGCACTGTTGGGAGGCCAGTCCCTGGACCTGCCTGGAGGTGATGGAAACAGCCCGGGCTTGCATGCAGAAAGACGGCCTGAGTGCAGGGAGCACAGCACACAGACCTGTGGGTGGAGTGCCAGCATGTGGCAGCAGATCCTGTCCAGCGCCTCCTCAGGACCTGTCTAAAGCACCACCTGCCCTGGGCCCAGGAGCCAGCAGGTGGTTGCGGGGCAGTGCCAGCTCACTTGTGGAGGTGGTTGCACACTCCCCACTCAACCCTGGGGCCAGATTCTGCGTTGCCATGACAACTGTTGCCCACACAGGTCAGGGCTGAGCATGGGGAAGGTCAACCAAACCCCAGAACCTCTGTAAGGATCCTTCTTTAACAGGGACGAAGTGGGCTTTTAATTTCATCTTAAAAACGTCACAATCACATCCCCTGGCTTAGGTGAGAAATACCCTTACTGTTACCTGTGTGTTAATTCAATCTTGACAAAGCCCTAGGGTCCCTTAAAGAGAGTCCCCCAGCTCCTGCCAGGACATCAAGCACCCTTCAGATGTGGGGAGGAGGAGGGGTGCTCATGCGCCCCTAAGCTGAGGGCCAGAGAAGGGTCTGGCTCAGTAACAGGCCCTCTCCTCCAAGCATACAAACATGAGCATTCACAAACTACATACAGACACACACCTGATCGCTTTTTTGGGGGTGCACAGGGTGGTGATGGTGGAGCACAGGGGAGCAAAGCATGGCTGAAAATGAAGCTTCCCAAGGCTCTGCCCTCAGTCCCTTCTCTGTGGGTAGGGAAGGGCCGGGCATCAAGGGGGGGAGCCACGGTCATGCTCTTTGGAGCTGAAGGCCATACCCCTGTGACTTCTACCTGAATACAGTGATAGGACTCGGGCAAGGGGACAGCTCCTGCCACTCAACAGCCATGTTGGGGGACCCGGGTTCCTCCGCTTCTTGGACAGCTGCAAGCCTACTTGGGCCTAGGCTCAGGTTTCTCCCAGGCAGGCACAGAGAGACGGAACCCACTCGACGGCCACGACCTCCAGCTCAGCGTCTGGCTGGCTTAGGTCATTGATGGCAGCGAGGAAGCCTCACATTTTCTCCCAGGACCACTCGCCCAGCGAGACGGAAAGGGTGTCACAGGTCCCGCTCTCATCCAAGTTCCCTCCAGAAGGCACTTGAGCTGACCCCACAGTAGAAGCAGGGTGGCACAGCCAGCAAGCAGCCCCGGGGCACAGTGCTGGCTCCTCCCTCTTCCTGGATCCAGCCCACCTGCTCTGCCCCCTGCCTTCCCTCGGGTCTCTACAGTGTATGCATGAGAAGGCCAGTAAGCTCAGCTGCCATCCCTGATCCTAATCTTCCTCCATGAGGAACTGAGGTGCAGGGCTGTGAAATATTGAGGATTTACTGCAACTAAAAACTCCACTGTGGGGAAACCTGGGCCAGCCCGGGGCCCTGCTCCGGCCAGGGCTGTAGGCCTCCACGTTGCCTGCATCCACAGTTGAACCTGCTGAAATTGCTTTTGGATAAACAAAAAGAACAGAACGAACAAATCCCCATTCCCGAGTCTTTTCTGGTTCAGCTGCCAGCTGGAGTCCGAGGTGGTGAGAGCCACACTTCCTGCTTGGTCCTGTACCTTGAGTCCCCATCTCCAGCCTCCGCCAGGGGGGCAGGGACTAGCTCCGCCACCCAGGAATGCTGCAAGGAACTTCCCCGAGATACTCATAGTCTCAGACTATTTACAGAGCTCAGGCTCTGGGGCCACTGTCCCCTGATCCACGCTTCTGCTCTCCTGGGTCCGCTCCTTCAGGAGGGGGACTGGTTCAGATCGGGTGGTGGTGGGACCATCAGACCAGAGGGGGATACACTCATCAGTAGATGCTTCTGGCCACTCCCACCACCCAGGGCCCCTTGCGCCTAGAGAGAAAACTGCCCGTCGGAGGTCTTGGACTGGCACCCTTGGCACATCCGTTTGTGTCTGAGTAATCGATCTGTCCGAGAAAAACACTGAGAAGAAAGGCAGGGTAAGTGCCTAGGAGAGAGATTGAGCCCCCTCTTAGCTAGTGCCTTTCCCACACAGAAGGGAAGGGCCATGGTAGATGTCCCCTCAGCACATGCGCAAGCAGCAGGAACAGCGGCCAAGGGTGCAGGCTTTGAGCCCTGGCTCTACCCCTTGGCAGCTGTGTAGGCTTTGGCAGGCGACCTGCCAGTCCTGAATCTCATTATCTGGAACCTGGGGCTGCAAGCCCTCCTCAGAACAGCTGCTCCATTTGTAGGGACTTACTGGTCTCCAGCCCCAGGTAGCGATGGGGCTGAGGGTGGAGGGCAGAATCCCAGGAGCAGGCCCTGGCCCTCCAGGAGTTCTCATTGCAGGGTGTGCTGAGGCAATGCATGAGTGCGGAGCAATGGCTGGGAGCCAGCAGATTACCTGGGAAGTGCCTGCCTTTATCAGCTCCCATCTCTTGTTCCAGTCTTGTTTTGGCTGGGGCATTTACACTCTCAGCAGACCAGACCTCCAGGGCAAAGATTTTATCTTTTCCTAGCTAAGTCCACCAACTCTGAAGTTGGACTGGCTCCTGGACTTGGCCCTGTCCTTAGGGAATAAGGAGGACACAGCTTCCTTTAGGAACCGCTCTCACCGTGCTCAAGGAAGCAGTGATTATTTTGCTAATCCTCCGCTGTGATCAGCTGCCTGGGGCCAGGGACCTGGGCTACAGTGAGCGCTGCCTGGCGGCTGGAAGGAGCAGTTGAGATGCGAGCCTTACCTGGTGACACCGTTCACACTGGTAAGGCTTCTCGCCACTGTGCACGCGCTTGTGACGTTCCAGATGGTACTTCTGGATGAAGCGCATGTTGCATACGTCACACTCAAATGGCTTTTCACCTGGTGCGGGGGACAGAGCTGCATGTCAGGAATTGCAGAGGGTAGACTAGCACTCTAGTCACTGACACTTTTTCGACAGTGGGTAGACCCCCAAGTTGCTACAGATGGGCAGGTGTCTGCAAAGCTTCTGGTCTTAGTGACAGCCAACCCCCTAACTGTGCAATTCTCTTCCTTATTCACTCACTACCTTTCTTCACTTCTAATACTTCCCCTTAAAAAAAAAAAAAAAAAAAAGCCCAGGGGCCAACGCAGTGCTATCGCAGGCTAATCCTCTCTGTGGCCCAAAATCCCATAGCCCAGTTCTTGTCCTGCCTGGTCCACCCCGCCATCCAGTTCCCTACTGGTAGCCTAGGAAAGCAGTGGAGGATGGCACCACATGGGAGACCTGGAAGAAGCTCCTGGCTACTGGCTTTGGCTTGGCCCAGCTCTGGCCACTATGGCCTTCTGGGGAGTGAACCAGCAGATGATAGATCTGTCTATTACAAGTAAAATAATAAATCTTAAAAAAAAAACAAAAAGCCTTCTCCTGAGATCTACCTTCTGTCTAATGATCACATGGGTTTTATTTTTATTAGAAAGTCAGATATACAGAGAGGAGGAGAAACAGACAAGAAGATCTTCCATCCACTTATTCACTCCTAAAGTAGCTGCAACAGCCAGAGCTGAGCCCATCCAAAGCCAGGAACCCGGAGCTTCTTCCGGGTCTCCCATGCGGGTGCAGGGTCCCAAAGCTTTGGGCCATCCTCAACTGCTTTCCCAGGCCACAAGCAGGGAGCTGGATGGGAAGTGGAGCTGCCGGGATTAGAACCGGTGCCCATATAGAATCCTGGTGCGTGCAAGGTGAGTACTTTAGCCATTACGCTACTGCACTGGGCCCAATCACATGGATTTTCACCTTGGTAATATATGAAACCTTATGCTATCTCAAACATACTTGAGGGACAAGAGACAATTCAATAAAGGAAACAGAAGCCCACCGGAGCCACACAGAGAATGTCAGCTCTTCACGCCTTTCTACTCCAGCGACAACAGAAAACTTACCAGTGTGAATCAGGATGTGCCTCTTGAGGTGGTAACTGCTCCTAAAGGCTCCGAAGCAGTGTTCACAAGTAAAATTTTTGGGAATCTTGACTTGAAACGAACCATTTTGTTCCACTACCACCACCTGGGGCAACAAAACGCAAGTGTAAGGCTCTCCTCTTCCCGGAGGGGCCGCATGCCTCCAGCCCACCCTTGGCTGGTGAACAGAGATCCTCTCAGATGCCTACAGCACGAGGAGTTCAGAGACCCTTTGGGGAAGGAAGTGGAACGGGTAACCTCTGCTGTGGGGAGGGCACGGTGGTGTGTGCAGCTGGTTAAGCCGCCACTTGGGGTAACTGCATCACACCCTGAGATGCTAGGGATTGAGTCTCCAGTCGACTTCCAATCCCGCTGTCTCCTGTTACACACTCCGGGTGGCAGCAGGGCAAATTCTTGGGTCTCTGCTGCCACTCACATAGAGAATCCAGACGGAGGCCGAGGCTTCTGGCTTCGACCTGGCCTAGTTCTGGATCTCGTGAGCACTGGAGGAGTGAACCAGTGAATGGAGATCTGATCTGTCTCCAATTCTCTCTAATAAATACACCAGTGGGGTGGGGTGCTGGTGATGAGAGGAAGCTGTCTCTGTTTTCAAATCCAACCCTCGACCACGAACTTGACCTGACCTGAACTTGACCTGCCTTGGCCACAGGATCTCATGCTCTCTCACCGGGCCCAAGGATGCTTCCGTGAAGGTAGAGGTCAATTCCCAAAGCCGCCTTGTGATGGAACTGGGGGGACCCTGGCTCTGAGGGCACAAAGCACCTAGGTGGGGTTCTAGGCTTAGCCATGGTGGGTAGGAAGAGGGTTGTACCAGTTTGGGGGACCACCCCATTACCTGCCTTTTTAACAGTCTTTTTCGAATGAGAGGCCTCGGCCAGGCTATCATCATCTTTGCGGTTCCGGGACTTCTCACTGTCTTTCCGATGGCCCTTTGAAAACAAATCAAACTTCAACTCACAGTCCATCTTGAAACACCAGACGAGGAGACCAGAGCTGCTTTCTGAGGGCTCCTGAGGGTAAACCACGTGCCCCAGAGGCTTGGGAAAAAGCACCGACTACTTCCTCGCCCTGTACTTGGGTCAGGAGGGGTCACAGGTACACACACCTCTTCCCTGGCTCTCTGACATATCCACACTCATTCATCCCCCTGGCCCCATGGCCCTGATTTAGGGAGCACTGAGGAAGCAGAGCTTAGCGCCTCCTGGCAGAGGGCTCGGGCCACCCATCCCCCAGGCGCCACGATGGACTCCAGCGCTGTACCTGACTCGAGCACCTCAGCACATCGGGGCTACCTGCCCGCTCGCCAGTCCCGGCCTGCTTGCTGGCAATCTGGCTCAGCATCATCTTCTTGCTGGCTGCGGTAGGGACCAAACTCACACCTGCTAGGCCTTCACAAGCCAGGAGACTTGCCTAAGTTGAAAGGAGATGAGGTGTCAGGTCACCTGGCAGAGCAGGGCAGAAATAGGCCGCCCTCCTCGACAGAGCTGCCTTTCCACCTGCTACACGGCGCCACGTGCTTCTCCCTCGCTGCCCGACCTCGCTTCCTAGTGGAGTCCGCCCTCACCTGTCTCACCCGGAACCGCCTGCTCATTCTGTCATCCCTCAGCATCTGAACACGCAGCGCGGCAATGATCACGCACTCTGGGCATGTCTGTCGTCAGCACGGGGCCAGGCACGGCGTGCGTGGCGGGGTCTCACTCGGCGGGTCTTTTCTAAGTTCTCAGCTGTGAGGGGGTAGGAGGGTCTGTCCGGCTGACACATTCAAAGCAGAGAGCTCAGGGCAGCTCTGCTGTCCGCACTCAATGCCCCTCTGCTGCTGAGCCCACTCCTGAGGGGCAGATCTCACTGTGACCAATCATACATTCTATCAGCATTTTTCAGATTAAAAAAAAAAAATTGTTCCCCGAGTGCTGTCAATTATAGCAGACATACAAAGTAAATCACCTAGAAACACGTAGGGATCTAACACAGTTTCCCTTGACCCCTCCCCTGGGCCATTCACGGGTGTGCACATATGTCCACCTGTCTTCAAATTCCCTACACCATTTAAACAGTTTCTTTTCACTGTTACATTTTCCAAACTGCTTAGCCCCCATTACAGAATATGCTTTTCTTACTGAAAAAAAAAATGTGTAACAAACAGTTGGTCAAGTAAACTCCCAAATTCATACAGCTGCCTTTCGGATGAGCAGCATACTGTGGCACCCCTTCTTCCATGTGCAAGGACACTGGGGAGACCCAGGTTCAGAGTCAAACACCTCCGCTCCGGCATGAGTGCCGTGTGACATTGGGCAGAGCCCCTGCCTTTCACAGCCTCCATTTCCTTATATGAAAAACACCTCTCCTGGCAGCGTCAGTTACACATGAACCGCCTGGTGATGCCCACCATGCCTGGGGCTGGGGAAGAGTGCATGTGGCACTGAGATCTGGGTTACAAGAGGAGGACACAGAACAGAAGGCGCATGGGAACGAGGAGGCTGTGTGCTCCCACGGGGCTGCAGGAAAGCCAGCTATGGCTGGAGTCAGGCTGCCCGCCTGGACAGGCCGCCAGGCAGGATCCCTGGGAGGAAGTGGGATGCGCTCTGGCGGGGGGTACAAGCAGCTTCTCTTCCCATCTGCTGTCTGGCCACTCCCTCTCCAGTGGAGCCCCCACAACGCCTCTGTGGCTCGGAGTGGTCTTGGAGGCGTCCCCATTCCCTGGAGAGTCAAGTCTAACTGCTTCCTGAGGCATAACAACTTCCTCCAGTCACCCTCTGTTAACTTCTCCAGGAAACAACTTCCTCCCACCCCTCATTCCATCTCCTCAACTGGTCCCATTTAAGCCCTTTCCTCCTGGCCACCCACCCTCTCCCTGGTCTCCCATGCCTCTTAAGTCCTGCCCATGATTTCCCCTAACCAGATGCCCTTCTCTGCTTGCCTGGCTAGCCAAACACTGGCCACCTTTTGAGCTTCGACATTCCCTTGCAGGTGGGAGCATCGGCCTCGCCTCTTGCCATGTGCGCACACATCTATTATGGCACTTTCCTGCACATTTACAACCTCAGCCCCAGCGTGAGGTGCTGCGAATGTAAAACCCCCGAGCGGACTGTCTCTGCAACCCCTTCCCCCTGGAAGCTTTCTGGGGACAAGGATCATTTTTCATCTTTGTCTTCCTAACACCACGCCTTGCATGTAATACGGGCTCAACAAATTCCTGTTGGAAAACAAGAACAACTCTCCCCACCCACCCCAACAAACACAGCATTCACCAGACCACTCACTCCCTTATGTTCCTCAGGCACCTGATATACCAGAGGTAGACTGAGTCAGTGCAGGTTCCAGAATGTTCCAGCAGCACCCGTGACCAGAAGCTCCCTGCAGGCAGGAGCTTGTGGCCTCTCTCTCTTCCTTGCTTTAGAACTGCCCCTGGTGCCTAACATACAGCTGGGCTTCCTGGGTTCAGACAGTGTGTGGACTAGGGTGGCCTTCCACTGGAGGAAGACTCCAGAGCATTTTTTTTTCTTTCTTTCTTTTTTTTTACCTGAGCCATGCTGGATATTCAACGCAACCCCAAGTTCAGGCGTTCCCCGATCCAGCTTTCCCGAAGACACTTCACCCAAGCACTGCGACAGCTCCCTGTTGGCCCTTCGGTCCTGCTGCCATACTGAATTGCCTTTGTCTTCACACAGAAGCACACGTCCTCCAAGAGGGTAGATGGGTGTCCCCAGAACCCCTGGGGCCTCTCTCTGGGTCCTGCCTTTTGTCTGGAGGAGAAGAGGGTCTGCCAGTCCCGGTTTTCCAGTTGAATTGTCTCGATCAAGTTTTCCAACTGCTTCTTGGAAACCTGAAACCAGACCGGGCGGGTGAGCGCATATCAGGAAGGACCAACGTGCGCCTGGGCGCATTCTGCCAAGCTAGCCAGGGGGCAGGGGCTGGCTTTCCAGGTCAGAAGAGAATCCGGTCTCTTTGGCAAGGAGGGGTGGCCACGGGAGGAAAAGTTAACTGGGGCCTGCTTGGGAAGGAACTCTGCCAGCCAGGGCAACGGCTCGGGTCTGCCCACTTGGAAGGGTTGGGAAGCAAGGGGGCGGAGAGCCTTTGGGTTTTTTTTTTTTCCTTTCTTTTGGGCCAAGTGGGCGCGCCCGCACATCCTTGTACTTTAAAGAGGCGGCCAGATTGGGGTGGACGAAAGATCAGGAGCCACCTCCGGGGACGCTGGACGGGCAGAAACCCACCGCAGTGCCAGACACGGCCGTGCTCCTCAAGGTACGGGAAAGTGGCTAAGGAGGTGGAGGGCACCCAGGTCCGGCGTGGCGTGGGGCTGCACGCTCCCCCTCCGATCCTTCCTCCCTCCAAACCGGCCCGGCTGCAGGCAGCCTTTGCTGCAGAAATCGGGTGGAGGGCGGGCGAGCGCGGCCGGAGCGCCCGGTGCGTGCTCGTGCCCGCAGTGCGCCCCTCTGCCCCGGGCCAGGGGCGCGCACAAGGGAAGACTAGGGGTGCCGTGCGCCGTAACGAGCTCGAGGAGTGCCCCTGCGCTGCACCCCGAAACCGGAGCGTTCCCCTCCCTCCGCCACGCGCCCCTCCCCTCCCCCTCCGCGCGCGGCGCCCCACGGGCCTGCGAGCTCCCAGGCGCTGCCGGGTGCCCTGCGCCACGCCGCGCGCTCCTACCTGCCGGGCGCGGCCTCCCCACGGCGCGCGGCGCCTCCGCCAGGCCCCTGCACACCCTGCCAAGCCCCGCGGCCGCCGCCGCCGCCGCCGCCGCCCCCGCCGGGACCTAGGCAAGTTTACAAACACCAACCCGGGGCGCGTTTCCCCGGAAGCACTTCCTCCTCTCCACCCCCGGCCTCGCCACCGAGCAGCCACATCTACTTCCGGGCACGGAAGGCTCTGGGACCAGGCCGGGCCGGGGGGGGGGGGAGGAGGGGACGCCCCGAAAGGCGGGGCGAGGGGGTGAAGCTGACAAGGCTGGTGAGGCTGGCGAGGTGACAAAGCTGGCGAGGAGGCAGGGCCGGCAGGACCGACGCGCTAGAGGATGGAAGGGGAGCAGGCCCTGGCCGGGGCGCGCGCGTGCGCCCTGGCGCGGGGAGAGGAAGCCGTCACCGCCATCTTGATTGAGGGCAAGGAACCAGGGTTCTCTGTATGAAATTCCAATTTGGGGGAGCTTGTTGAGTTGGCATAGACTCTGAAGAAATGCTCGCGGACGTTCTCCCAGACAGAAGCCGAAAATGGTTCCAACACGCGGGCCGAGGCTGTGTGGGCCCCGGCTGCCCGTCGCGGGCTTGTCAGTCGTGGCCTGGAGTTGACCTTTTGGGCGTCCTTGTGTCCTGTACACGATCTATAGCCTCGAAGTGGGTGCCTTTCTCGGGCATTTCTTAACACCTCGAGACCCTGGAAAGGCCGGAGGCGCAGCTCTCCTTTCACCGCCTCACCGACTCCCTGCCTAGTGAAGGCTCCAGGATGCCCCCTCAGGGAGGGAGACTCAATCACTCCCAAGGGCCTTCAAATTCTAGTCCTGGCTCTGGCTAGGGGTGGCACTGTCCTTGGAAAGGAAGTCCTCCCATTCCCTGGAGCCCCCATTGCTGCCTTCGGGGCTTTCAGCTTGTGAACTGAAGGAGTGACAGCGAAAGAACAAGATCTTAATGATGCAAAAGGTTATTGAAGGCAACTTCCTTGTGAGCTTAGATTCAGGGAAAAATTGAGAGAAAATGAAGAAGGAGAAATAGCATCATAACGAAATCTCTACTTATTTGTTTATTTAGAGTTACAGAGTGGGAGAGGGATCTTTGGCTGATTCTTCCCCAGATGGCAGCCACAGCTAGGGCTGGGCCAGGCGGAAGCCAGGAGTTTCATCCAGGTCTCCTGCGTGGCCGCAGCGCCCCAGAACACTTGGGCCACATTGCACTGTTTTCCCCAGGCCATTAGGTGGCCTATTGTGAAGCAATGGGGTCACAAACCATTGCCTGTATGGAATGCCACCTCCACTGCTGGTGGCTTAACCTGATGTGCTACAATGCTAGCCTCAACTTTGAAGTTCTTAAAACATAGTAAATTTGTACTTATGTTTACAAATCACACAATACAAAAATTTAAAAGGCAGAAAATGGTCTCTTTCTCTGTCGTTGTCCTATGGTCCTTCACAGACCGCATTCTTACAAATTTGGCATAACAGTTATCCCCAGAATTGCCTGTGTTTATACACACGATTTTTTTTCTTTCAGTACATATTGTATTGAACGCCTGCAACATGCTTTCTGGTGTATTTTAGACATGTAAGCCAATTCATGTTTTTAGAATCATTATATACTGTTTTACTTATCCCACCTTATTTATTTGGCTGATATTTCTGTACCAGTTTTTGCCTTTTTTTTTTTTAAGATTTATTTTCTTTTTAACAGAAAGGCATATTTTCAGAGAAAAGGAGAAGGGAAAGATCTTCTGTCTGCTGGTTCACTTCCAGAATAGCTGCAGCAGCCAGAGTTGAGCCGATCCCAAGCCAGGAGATGGTTCTTCAGATGGTTCTTCATTATTCAGATGGTTCTATTCAGATGGTTCTTCATTATCTGCTGCTTTCTCAGGCCACAAGCAGGGATCTGGAAGGGAAATAGAGTAGCTGGGACATGAACCGGCATCCATGCAAGATTCCTGCACGCTAAGGTGGACGATTAGCCAGTTGAGCTGTTGTACTGGGCCCTCATAATAAACATTCTCATATATCCTTTTTGCATTTGTAGGTAACATATGTGGTGGGCTCAGCATGGCAACCTAGAGGCTCAAAGTCCTTGCCTTTCGTACACCAGGATCCCAGATGGGTGCCAGCTTGTAACCCAGCTGGTCCATTTCCTATGCAACATCCCTATTTGTGGCCTGGGAAAGCAGTTGAAGATGGCCCAAAGCCTTGGGACCCTGCACCCATGTGGGAGATCTGGAAGAAGCTCCTGGCTTCGGATCGGCTCAGTTCTGGCCATTGTGGTCACTTGGGGAGTGAATCATCGGATGGGAGTTCTTCCCCTCTGTCTGTCCTTCTCTCTGTATATCTGACTTTCCAATAAAAATGAATAGTTAAAAATTTTATTTCAACTTCTTAAAATGAATAAATTTAAAGAAAAAGATTTTTGAGGCAGAAAATCATTCTTTGTGGGAAAAAATTTAAAACATTCCCATCAAAGATACAAATAAGACAGGAATGCTGATCATTAAGACTAATGGTCTGTTATGTGTCAATTAGAAATAGTATAATGCTGATAGAAATGCTAGAAGGCTTGGACCCGGGACGATGACCTAGCGGCTAAAGTTCTCGCTTTGAACGTGCTAGTGTCCTTTATGGGTGCCGGTTCTAATCCTGGAAGTTCCACTTCCCATCCAGCTCCTGCTTTTTGCCTGGGAAAGCAGTAGAGGACGGCACCCGCATGGGATACCTGGAGGAAGTTCCTGGCTCCTGGTTTCAGATCGGTGCAGCACCGACTGTTGCATTCACTTGGGGAGTGAATCATCGGACAGAAGCTCTTCCTCTCTGTCTCTCCTCCTCTCTGTATATCTGACTTTCCAATAAAAATAAATATATTTTTTTAAAAATCTGCCCTTCCAATAAATATAAATAAATTTTTAAAATAATCCATGAGTTATCTTTAACTACTTTAATGGTGACCTTCCTTATAGAATTTTAAAGTTTTCTGTTGTCGCATCTGCTGTAGCTTTTGGATTTTTGAGACATATAACCTTGAAATCATGAAAAATCTCTTACACACTCTCCTGATATTCTGAAGAGTTGTTTGTTTTCAGTTTATCTTCATTTATTTTTGCTTTGGGGAATACTGAGAAATGTGAAACTTAAAAAGCAGTAGTCATGTGTGTGAGGTACTAGCCAAAAGTTTGAAAATCAGCCTGCTAGCTGCTCCCCAATCATCTTTGTCCTCTCTGGAAAGGAGAATGCATAATTGGTTCCCTGCTGATTTCTAGTCCTGCAGTAAGGGTGAGATGACGTGGAAGGAGAGAAAGCTGGAGAAAGAACCAGTTCTTGGTGGTGGAGAAGAATTGTGAGTGGAATGTACCTTGTTTTTTTCAGTCAATTGTTGGTTGAGTCCACACTCGTTGTGTTGGATGCCTCTGTGCAGGACCTTGGCGTAGGGAAGAAGACGGTGAGGAAGATGGAGGCTCACCATGTTGTAGGTGCGGAGGAGTCCCTGTTTTGTGTGTGGTGCTTTCCTGCATCGGGTTAGGGGGATGGGTTACTAAGTCTGTGTCTTGGTGGAAGGAGGGCTATGAAAGTCCTTGGGGCCTGTTGACAGGGAGATGACCTGGGAGTCAGCATTTCCACTTTCCCACGGGGAGCCAGGTGCTGGAGCCCTCACCCCAGGTGGGCCACTTTCCCTTGTGGGGGATTTTCTCTGACTCACTCTTCCCTCTGGCGCTTCCACACACACTGTGCTAATGGCCCCTGCTGTCCTTCCCTAGCCCAGTGTCTCTTGCCCCAAGGAAGGTCTGAGCAGTCTGCTCCTTGAAGGTCACCCTTGGTTGGCCTCACCTTGCAGAGCCTGAGTGCCACTGCTCCAGGGGCCTGGGCAGGGGAGGGTTGTGGAGCCTTTGCTGAGTGGACCTGGCTTCCCGAAAGGCAGATACAGCATCTGGAGCCAATGCCAGGCAGACCGGAAGCAGTGGACTCACAACTTTTGAGGAACCAGCAGGACTCTCTGGTGGCCAGCGGGCTGGGGGATTGTGTAATGCGTGCGAGCAGTGGGGGCTGACTGCCTTTGCTGTTCGCCCTCTGATGAGAGTGGGTGGTGGAGTTGGGAAACTGCACAATGTGCAAGGGGACATTCCTGGCATCTGGGGATTTCTGTATTTTGGAATTCTTGTAATCCCTTAATTCCTCCTTAACTTGATGGTTGTTGCTTGGAAATAACATTTATTTTAACTACGTAAGTCATAGGGAATTCTCTAATGAAGTTCTAAGAAAGTACAGATGTATAAATAAGAAAACTGAAGCCACTCATAATTACAACACCCAGGAAATAATTACAGTTAATATTTTTGGAGTCTTTTTTAGTTTTTTTTTTTTTTATGGGTAAGAGGTGGCTGCTAGGAGGGCTAGGGTTTCTCTTAGGGGGAATAGAGGTGTTCTGAAATTGAACAGTGGCACATCATTATGAATAGACTGAGAGCCTCTACAGGGCTGGGCGTGGGAAACCTGCAGGTTTGGGGTGATGTGGGGTGGCAAGGGGTCAGAAACATCTGTCCCGTCGGCCATACAAAGCTCATGAAGTGGGTTTGTCAGGCCCTGCCAAGATAATCGCAGGAAGGACTCAAAACTGAATAAAAATAAGTGGACTCATTTTTTTAAAAAAAATAAAAGATTTATTTATTTTTATTGGAAAGACAGATCTACAAAGAGGAGGAAAGACAGAGAGGAAGATCTTCTGTCTGATGATTCAGTCCCCAAGTTCTGCAACGGCCGGTGCTGAGCCGATCCAAAGTCAGGATCCAGGAACTTCCTCCAGGTCTCCCACGCAGGTGCAGGGTCTCTAGGATTTGGGTCGTCCTTGACTGCTTTCCCAGGCCACAAGCAGGGAGCTGGATGGGAAGTGGAGCTGCCAGGATTCGAACCAGCGCCCATAGGGGATCCCAGGTGCGTTTAAGGTGAAGACTTTAGCTGCTAGGCCACGCCACCGGGCCCAGATGATGTTCTTTACTGCAGCTTTTCCATTCCTTAAGAGCCGATATCGCACCATCCTTTCAGCTCCCTCTGCCTG